TACATCTCTAGATCGCTTTGGGTACTATGGCCATTTTAAGTACTAATTCTTCCAATCCAAGAACTCAAGATATCTTTCCATTTTTTTTTTTTTTGTATTGTCTTCAGTTTTCTTCATCAGTGTTTTATAGTTTTTAGAGTATAGGTGCTTCATTTCCTTGATTAAACGTTAAAGGATCCTCTCTTAGTGGAAAAGAAGATTCATTAGGAAAGGGAAAATTGCACTAAGAAAGGAAAATGTGTAGTAAGATTTGAAGATTAACCACTTAAAGAAGCTAGTAAGAAGATTCAAAGACAAAAAAGCAACTATAACAACAATAAACAGTTAAGGGTAAACATGAATATGTAAAATCTGACATCAAAAACACAAGATGTAGGTGAGGGGAATAAAAAATGCAGATCTTTTAGAATGTGTTTGAACTTAAAGGACTAAATGATTACTAGTTTCAAAACAAGTAGATATAGATATAGGTCATCATATATTCGAGAAGGCAATGGCAACCCACTCCAGTACTCTTGCCTGGAAAATCCCATGGAGGGAGAAGCCTGGTAGGCTACAGTCCATGGGGTCACGAAGAGTCGGACCGAAGAGTTGGACACGACTGAGCGACTTCACTTTCACTTTTCACTTTCATGCATTGGAGAAGGAAGTGGCAACCCACTCCAGTGTTCTTGCCTGGAGAATCCCAGGGGCGGCGGAGCCTGGTGGGCTGCCATCTATGGGGTCGCACAAAGTCAGACACGACTGAAGCAACTTAGCAGTAGCAGCATCATATATGAAACCTGTGGTAACCAGAAATCAAAAACCTACAATAGACACACAAAAACTAAAAGCAACACAGGCATACTACTAAAGAACATCATCAGCTATGCTTCTCCTTGTTAACTATGACAAAATGGAAGAGGAAGAGGTGAGCTAAAGAACGAACTGCTAGATAGGAAGCAACCAGGGCTTGCCAGATATAACAATAACACTGTTTCTTACAACTTCTTCAGATAGTAAATTAATCTGTAATTAAGACAGGAATTCAGAACGAAGTCAAACCCAGGGTGGATCTGTGTGAGAGACTTTGTTAAGAAAAGATTCAAGGTACTGTTTCATAAACCATTTCAGAATGGCAAAAGGTCCTCTAATTTTAAGGTGTTACCTAGCAGATCCTGTCTATTAAATAATAGAATTTATGGAAACCTGAAGGATGTTTGCCTGCAGCATCATCCCAAGGACCCCCAGACAGAGAAGTTCCTATCTCAAACAGATTTTCAGTGGTGTATTATCTAAGAAAGTGAAACCCATTAATAATTTTCAGGAAACCTGCATAATTCTTAAGAGAATTGTTCTGGTGGAAGCAGAGTCTGAACGAAAAGAGAGAGTATATGAAGTATGCTAAAAAGAGAGAATGTAAGAAGAGCCGAATCATTGGAAGAGACCCTGAGGAGCAAAAGATTGAGGGCAGGAGGAGAAGGGGGCAACAGAGGATGAGATGGTTGGATGGCATCACCAACTCAATGGACATGAGTTTGAGCATACTCTGGGAGATGGTGTAGGACAGGGAAACCTGGTGTGCTGTAGTCCATGGCTTCACCAAAAGTTGGACATGACTTAGCAACTGAACAACAAAGACAGAGCAAAATAAAAAGAGACAGTTGGATGTCTCATCCATTTTTTCCAGGAAACAGATCCAGGAGGGTTTTTTCCCTCATTTAGGAGCTACAGAGAACAACTCACAGAGTGTAAACTAAGCAGTAATGAAAGAATTGGCAACATGTTCTCAGCTGGATTTCAGAATGGCTAGGGGTCAGCGACTGTTATGTGCCTCCCACATTCCCCATTTTTTAACAGGAATGTCTGAGAATTATACTTACTCCACCACCATATCCTGAGGTATGTGTACGTACAGTTAACTTGTTTATTTAGTTCATAGGTCTTAAGATTGAAAAGATGCTTAAGGAGCTATACCCAAGGAACTATACTTGAGGAGCTTCATCTGTACCTGAAGCTGATATAATTGATGCAGTCTTGGACTTTGAGCCTGAGCATGGTGCTATACTAGAATGAGACTCTGGTAGGGAGGGAGGTCCTCAAAGGAGGGATGGGTGTATTTTACATGTGGGAGGAATGTGAATAGTGTGGCTTAGAAGACAGATTTTAAAAGGTGATTACAGTGTTTCCCATTCCACATGCTTTTCTAGAGACTCTGCACTCTCCTTTTGAGAGGTAGACTCTATGTTCTCCTTAAAGTTTGTGGGTCTTTGTGATTGTCTTTACCAGTGAAAGTGTTAGTTACTCAGTCGTGTCTGACTCTTTGTGACCCCATGGACCGTAGCCTGCCAGGCTCCTCTGTCCATGGGATTCTCCAGACAAGACTACTGGAGTGGGTAGCCATTCCCTTCTCCAGGAGATCTTCCCAACCCAGAGACTGAACCTGGGTCTACTGCATTGCAGGCAGATACTTTACCATCTGAGCCACCAGGTAAGCCCACCTTGACCAGTGGTGTATGGCAGAAGTGATACTATGTAGCTTCCAAGACTAGGTCAAAGATAAGGCCGTGCAATTCGGCCTTGATACGCTGGGGTGCTCACTCTTATAACCAGCCAGATTAGCCACTGTAAAGGCCCACATGGAGAGAACTGAGACCCTGTGAACCCACAGCCCTGCCCGAGATCTTAGCTGACAGCCAATACCAATTTCCCTGCCTGGTGAGTGAGAAAAATAGAATGGTTAATGTTTTAAGTTACTATGTTTTAGGGTAGTTTGTTACACAGCAATAGATAATTGAAATACACCCCGAATATAGTCACATAAAACAATATTTTGTTCATAGATCCACAATTTGGACAGCGCTTGACTGGGACAACTCTTCTCTGCTTCAAGATATCTGAGGCCTTCACTAAGAAGATTCAATGGCTAGGACAAGAATCATCTAGAGGTTTGTTCACTCATGTATCTAGTACTTGAGCTGAGATGACTCACAGGCTAAGTTCATTTGGGACGATCACAGGAAGTGCTTACAGTTGGCTTCTCCGTGTATTTGGGGCTTCCTCACAGCATCACAGCCTCAAGTTTGTCAAGTTTCATTGGGTGGCTCAGCCCTCCAAGAGCAAGTGTTCCCAGCAAACAAGGTAGAATTGTCATGGCCTTTATGACCAACCTTCTGAAGTCACAAAGCATCAGTTCAGCCCTATTGTACTAACTGAAGCAGTCAGAAACCCATCCATATTGAGGGGAGAGGGCGTAGATCTCCCGCCTCTTGGTGCCAGAAGTAGCAAAGAATTAATGTTATGAACAATTTTTCTGGGACTTTCCTGGTGATCCAGTCCTTAAGAGTACACTTTCCAGTGCAGGGAATGCAGGTTTGATCCCAGGTCAGGGAACTAGGATCCCATACGCCATGGGGCCTCTAAGCCCACATATTGCAACTACTGAGCCTACACGCCCCAGCTAGAGAGATGCCCACTTGGTACAAGGAAGAGCCTGCATGCTGCAACCAAGACCCAATGTAGCCAAATAAATAAATATTTTTTAAGAACCAACTTTTCTGTGATATGTTAAATATGATTTTCTTTAACTGACTTGAAGTTTATGGGTGTTATGTCCCCTCAAAACTCAAATGTTGAAATCTGAAACCTCAATGCAATGGTATTTGAAGGTAGATGAGGCCCCCATGATGGGATTAGTGTCCTTATGAAATGAGAAAGAGAAACCAGAGGTGGTTTCTCCTCTCCCTGCCAGGTGAGGAGACAGGGAGAAGGCAGCTGTCTCTAAGCCAGAAAATGCCCCCACCAGGAACTGAATCTGCCAGAACCTTGATCTTGGGCTTCTCAGACTCCACAACTGTGAGAAATGTCTGTTGTTTAAGCCACTCTATCTGTGGTATTTTGTCAGAGAAGCCTGAGCTAAGTAAGACACAGTCCTTCCGGACTATGTGGTTGACGTCTTTGTCAGTTTTAGAAAATTCTCAACCATTATCTCTTCAAATATATCTACATAATGCTTTGTAGCTTTGTTGTCAGGGAAAGTGATGATGCCTCTAGGAACGTCACAATATGAGTTTCCAAAGTTTGTTCTTAGAGCCAGGAAGCAAGAAAAATAGGTCATAGTCACGCTCCTTTGTATCAGAGTTTTGACTGAACTGTTCTAGAGCCAGATGCTCCCCTATCCATCACTCCTCCTCCCAGGAGATTCTTCTTTAATCTCCATGAGAAAGAGGTCAGTCTGGCTATCCTGTCAACATCTCTGTGTATATTTTAGCCAATGAAAATTCTGTCAGTAGTGGTTGAACCAGTAGCAAATGCTGAATGGTCATTCTCTCCCAATGATGGAAAAAGTAACCCAGTATTTGTTCAGCTTTAAATTTCACCTGTGCCTCCAAGTGTTATGTAAAAACACCTAGACGAAAACACAAATTTTATTATTATTATTATTTTTCATTTATTTTTATTAGTTGGAGGCTAATTACTTTACATCATTGCAGTGGATTTTGTCATACATTGAAATGAATTAGCCATGGATTTACATGTATTCCCCATCTCGGTCCCCCCTCCCACCTCCCTCTCCACCCGATCCCTCTGGGTCTTCCCAGTGCACCAGGCCCGAGCACTTGTCTCATGCACCCAACCTGGGCTGGTGATCTGTTTCACCCTAGATAATATACGTGTTTCGATGCTGTTCTCTTGAAACATCCCACCCTCGCCTTCTCCCAGAGTCCACAAATCTGTTCTATACATCGGAGTCTCTTTTTCTGGAAAACACAAATTTTAATAGTGGGGATACTTTTTACTATTTTGTATTGTATACTTTTAATCCAATCTTCTATAAGAGGTATGTGTTACATTAGAAAAATTCATAATGAAATAAAACTTCAAAAAGTTTCCTACAATACATCATTAATAACAATGACATGAATTTAATGTTACCCAGGGGACAAATGATTCACATAATATTATTAAACACTAAAATCCAACCTTGAATCTCTCTCTCCTGTCAGTAGCAGAGCAGTGCATTACAATTTGGGGGAAGGTCCAAGGTGTTTGGTGAAGAAGGTTAGAATTTGCTTCCAAGCATCTACCTGGGCCTTAGAATGGGCCCTGGGCTCCCCACCCCACATTACGGGTTTGTCCAAGAACGTGTGCAAAGAAGCTGGGCACATGGGGAAATAAGGAGGCTCAATGTAGTGCCCAGCCCCAGGATAAGAGATGATCTGGGGTTTTTCCTTTCCATGGGCCTGTAACCGTTCCGAGGCTATCTGGGCATAAAACTCACTCCTCCAGTTATGGTCATCCTGACCAACAATGAAGAGGATTGGCCCCTGGGCCTTCTCTATTGGAATCATGCAGGGGTTCTCGCACCCCCCTACAATGTCATTCCTTACATCCACAATGTCTAGGAGGCCTGAGAAAGCTACCTTCACTCGCCTCAGGTCATGGCCCAGTGGTGGAATGCTGTTCTCTTTGTAGGACATAGCTTTGTTTCCAATGAACCCAGATCCATTGATGGACACTGTGGCTGATACATTCTTCAAAAATGAGGCCATGGAGAGACAAATATCAGCCCCTAAGGAAATGCCCAGAAGGCCAATGCCTGGGCCTTTTATCTGCAAGAAAAGAAGAGACAAAAGTCAAAAACCTACCTCAGAGAAAAACATTTTTCTAAATGCAACTAGAGATGCTGCTAGCTTTGACTTGTGAACTGCTCACAAGACACTCAACCTCAGCTGACAGAGGAGATTCTTTCCCTGTAAAGACTATCTTCCTGGACACGTGGCAAACAAATCTTAAAAAACTCACTGGCAAATTTGGGAACTGGTTGCAAACTTCCAGAGAGTCATGCACTGGAGAATGCTGAGTCATGGAGCCTGTTGAGTTCAGAGCCTCATTCAGGTGGAATTATAGCATCAATGTTCTTGGGTATCTAACTTGTGAAAGGAAAGTCTGTCTCAAGAAGTGAATCATTATCAGACCACATCTAAATATATACTGAAAAATGGTTAACTTTATAGAAATAAAGTAAGACTTCAGAGTCCAATTAAGTAGTTCTTAGCTTCTGAAATGGGTGAACAAGTTTCGATCAAGTCTGAAAACATATTCTGCTATCAGGAATATAAAGATTAAAAAGCATGCAAAGCTAAAAAATTAGAAACTCCACTTGAAGAAATTTTAATATTACTACATAATTTCCTGAAATAAAATCTCACATGAATTTTACAATGAAGTCAGCAATTTTAATCCATCTGACAGAGAAAGTGGAGTACCTAAAACCAAGGAAGTCTTCAAAAGAAATGTCTGTGAAAGAAGAGTAGAACAGCATCAACACACTTGGTACAGGTGAGTGCAAAGTGACACCCTCTCTGCAGGTTCTAGAGAGAATGATAAAGGACATTACGAGAACCTGGGTGTGTTGAAGCATGTAGCACAGGGCTTCTTCAAAGTAGTCCAGGTTGATGGTATCGAAATTCTTGGGGAGATCTTCAAAGCTACAATAAGCTAGAGCCAATGTGGCAAAGCCATGGCCAGCCAGAAGGCTGGCCCGATATTCCAACAGGCCTCCTCCAACACCAAAGATGTCAATGATCCCTGGGAAAGGTCCAGATCCTAAAGAGGCAATATTATAAACAGAAAGTATTATATAATTTATTGAAGAATTTGTTTTCCTTTTAGAAATCTTTCTAAAGTATTTAGTGGGTGCCTGTGAATCAGAGGAAAGAAAAGAGCTCCGAGTCATTACTGAACAAGGGACACAAATTCCAAATTATCTCCAAGGTATACTTGGAGAATCTTTAGTTGTAAAGGAGGGTAATAAAGTCTAATGACTATACCATGGAAGGAGGATTTTAGACAGTTTATTCGCAGTGTTCTTTTATAGGATTGGGCACAGAATTGAGAATCAAAACTAAGCTTTCAAAAGCAAATCAAAACTCTTGGTGATACCTTTGGTTCAAATGTCTGCTTAGAGGAAAGAAAGAGATCCTGCGAGGCTTTAGGTGAGGAAGGCAGTGAAGTCTGAAAAGTGATCTGTGGTAGAGAGGAGCATGAAAAAGTGGGTAAGGGTCCCAGTGTACGCAGGACATTAGAGAAGGGTGACGTGGCACTAGCTTCCTCGGCTGTCATCATATTGTGTGAGGCCATGATACTGTGTTGGAGCTGAAGGTTATAGAAATCTGTAGTTATTAAAGCAAAGTGAACCTTACGGACCCCATCCAGTCCTTTTTTTTTTTTTTTTAAATCTGCATACTAACAGTATCCACCTCTTTGGGATACAGATGTTAAATGAGATAATGCAAGGAAACTGCATAGCAGAGTGCAGAACAAATCAAAAGCCTCCATTGTGGCTGTGAGGTCACTGACTTAGTCAACATCCTCTTCTCTGACCCTGATCCCAAGCCTCCCTTCCTGGGAAGCGGTATCACAAACCAAGACGGCCTAGAGAACACGCTCGCCAGGCCCCAGCACCCCAGGCTCACCTGGCGGCAGGAAGAGCGTGCCGCGCACCCGGCCCGCGCGCACCGGCTCGCGCCGCACCCCGGGCGCCAGGAAGTCGCGCTCGTGCACCGCCCGGCCCAGAAGTCGTTGGGCCTCGGGCTCGTGACCGTCGAGCACCTCCAGCTCCACGGCGAAGGGCGTCTGCACGTCCCGCTTCAGAAATCGCCAAAAAGGCTTCTCGGGCTCCAGAGCCCAGAAGAGCCCCATGGGCTCGAGCCCCGCGAAGCTGCCGCCCAGCGCGGGCGCGCGCTCCAGGTCCAGCAGGCCGGCGGCGTCGGCGCAGTAGCGCGCGTGGGCCCTGAAGAGCGCGCCCTTCTCGTCGCGCAGGGACGCGCGCAGCGTGACCGGCTGCCCCGGGGCGAGGCCGCGGACAGCGATGCGCACGGGCTCGTCCCAGCGGCAGCGGCCCGCCGGCTCCAGCGTCACGGTCGCCACCATCCCGGGCCCAGAGCCGCAGGCTGGACCCTGAGCGTGAAAGCGCGGTCGGCTACTTGAGTTTTTGCCTCAGGTCGGGTGGACGGCGCTCGGAAGTCCGAGAGTGTCAGGCGTCGCCTGGAGCCGAGAGAGGTCTGTAGCTGAGCCGCCTCTGGAGGCGTCCTTTTAGGTTTCGGACGCCTGCTCGTCGGAGGTAAAAGCACCGGGTCTTTGTTCTGGCTCAGGGCGGGGCGCACAGGGATTTTCTGGTGTTTATAAGGTGGCGCGGAACCCGCCCTGCGGACGCCTCTTTTCTGCCTCAATCCTCCTTCGCTTGTTGGAGTGAAGCGAGTTGGGTACGGATTCGTGGTGAAACCGGAGTTGAATGCCTTTAGGCAAAATTCCAAGAATTCTAGCTTCTCCCAACTTTTTTTTTCTAAAACACTTTTAAAGAGTTATACACATACACGCACACACACACAAAAAAACCCTGCATAAATCCTACGTGTATATTTCAATGTATTTCGTAACCCGAACGTACTTGGGCAACCAAGCTCAAGGGTCTAGAAACATCATTGACAGCACCCCAGTAGCACTTTCCCTTGCCCAAGGTTTTGAGTCCAACAAAACGGGTTAGTTTTTCCCAACTCTGCATTTTATGGTGATGAATCCTCCAGTGTGCCGTTTTTATTGTATGCTTTCGTGAACATTACATTTGTGAGATTCATTGCTATTTTTGAATTTAGTTGTAAATTGTTCTTTATCTCTGCCAAATAGTATTTTATTTTGTGATCATAAAAGTATTGGTCAGATATTACTGACTATAGGCTTTTGGTAGTTTCCGGTTGGGACTCCTAGGTATAGGGCTCTGAATATTCAAGACTGTATCTTTTGATTGACATATATGTGCCTTTCAGTGGAGTGAATACCTGGGAGTCGAATTGCTGTATCATAGGTGTCAGGAATCATTTAACAGTAAGATTCCTGTGTGTTGTTTCCTATCTCTCTTGAGACCTCTGTTCCTTTAGCAGTCCCTGTCTGGGGCGGGAGGAGCAGGCAAGCCTCTCCCAGGACAGAGATCAAAGAGATGGGATGCTTGCATAGGATTTCCTTCATTAGCTTTTCCTTACGGTGAAAAGTAACTACTTACGACCCTCTTTTCCTATGGATTGCCTCTTGGCCTTTTGGCCTCTATTGCTCCTTGCTTCCTTGATAAACTTGGAAAGTCTGGTCTCTTGATCTTTATCTAAAGAAGCTGCTGGTATATATACTCTTACAGAATTCAATAAAACACCTTTGCTCCATCAGAGCTTGGGTCCCCGTGTCTTTCTTTCTCTCTCTCTCTGGCTGATTCCCTGGAGCGCAAAAGCCGGCTGTGTAACCCAGGGAGTATTAGCCTCTTTCCTTCTTTCACTCTCTCGTCGGCTCCGGACCACCAGGTTCTGGTCCAATAAAGGACCAACAATAGGGAATGAGAATGTTCGGCCTTTGTAGATACTAAATGTCAGCCTTTTGAACGTGATCCTAGAAGCAATGTAGGTATAATGTTTAAGGATACCCAGCATTTTGCATATAGTGTAATAATAGCTACTCTTTAGCGATGTCCCATCTATTTTACATACACAATGTAACAAGTCCATAAAACACTGGGAGTATTTTTCAAATATTGAAAAGGAGAAACATGAGGCTTGGAAACTGCTAAGGATTAGCCTTTAATACGTAGAAGACAATGGCAACCCACTCCATTACTCTTTCCTGGAGAAGCCCAGGGACGGGGGAGCCTGGTGGGCTGCCGCCTATGGGGCCCGCACAGAGTCAGACACGACTGAAGCGACTTAGCAGCAGCAGCAGCCTCTAATAACTGTCAGAACCTTGACCAGCTCCAATGTGGAACTCAACAGTGAGCCGCAGCATTGCAGTGAAAGGTAATTGAAGTTCTAGCTCTGGCTTCATCACTGACTAGTTCTGTAGGCTCAAATAAGTTTATATCTTTTGGGGTTTAAGAGTTCTTGTGTGGAGTATGATGAAACTCTGCTATAAGGGGATCCAAGGTGACAGTGTGTGTGAAACTCTTAGAAAAATACTAGGAAGCAAAATTCATGCTTGATTTTGTAATAGAGATTGAGCCTACATGTGTGTTTTTTCTCGTGGTCTCCAGATATTTGCTATAGGTTTGCATACTGCTTTTCAAATTTTCCAAAGCATACATAAGCAAGGGCTTCCCCGGTGGCTCAGCTGGTAAAGAATCTGCCTGCATTGCAGGAGACATGGGTCAGATCTCTGGTTTAGGTAGCTTCTCTGGAGGAGGGCATGGCAACCCACTCCAGTATTTTGCCTGGAGAATCCCCATGGACAGAGAAGCCTGGCGGGCTACTGTCCATGGGGTCACAAAGAGTTGGACATGAGTGAGTGACTAAGCACGTACATAAGCAATAATGACAAATCTACAGTGGTAAATGATCAGAGTCTTTTGTCCTTTTCCCACTTTCCCCCAAAGACGAATGCATCTGTCTAGATTTTGATTAATGTTTAAAGTAGGTAAATATATGGGAGTGTAAACACATTATTGGTACTATTCTTTTTTTGTTCTTTGCTTTCTAAAATTAAAAATGTTACATATTTTTTTGTATTATTTTCTCTCTTCAACCACTTTGTTTCATGTAAATTTTAATTTTTAAAATATTAATAGGCATTATTTTTA